CGTCTGGAACGTGCGAGAAGGGAATATGATCAGTGACTTTGATTCCCAAGATGTGAGAATACTTCTCAGAGTCGGATCTAGGAGATAATCCTGGAATATGAAACATCTTAGCTCCGGATCATAGAATTATAACAAAGTATGAAGATATCTGTCATCCACCTGAGCATTTAATAGAGGCAAAAGATCCCCATACTGTTTGCTAAAAGTTTGTGAATTCGGATAAACAACTGCCTTGCTCAGTTCTTTCAACTGAGGACAAATTCTAGTGCCCAACTTGTAGCCGAAAATGTCTCTGGTATCTCTCTTAACAGTATTACCGTTGCTTGCCATTTTTGATACAAACAACTACTCTAAAACACCGTGTAAATGAAATGCAAATGCAGGTTAACCTTTTTCAGACATATACATTTTTTTTGCAAGATGGAATTCATGAAAAATAAAATACGAGGAAAAGAAGGAATATTTACAAATTTTTGCTCGCCTAGGCCCTACGACCTAATGCCTAAGTATCCCTTTTGAGGAATCAAAGCATCGTAGTTTGTCTCACGTGTTTCAGTTTGTTATATGTTTTATTCCTTAAAAAAGGATTCTAAAATAAAAGCCAAACGACAAAATGAAATTTGGATTGGTTGGTGTTTTCTACCTTGAAAAAGGATTTTTGTATTATTAGAGTGCTTTTTTGAGTTTAAAATAAAAAAGGAGTTTTAGTTTTAATGCAAATGCAAAAGAGAAATAAAAAGGTGTAAGGGAAACTAGAAAAGTAAGCCTAGAGTTGTCATGCAAAGTTGATCTTATAGTTGAGGATAAAGGGGAAATCTATGTATGTTAGCATGCATGGTATTCAACCTAAGGTCTATCTCAATTCGCTTCCTAAGATTGAATCGAAAAATTCTATGGGAGCATGTAACCGTGCAATGGAAAGTAAACACACAAATTTTTTGGAGTATCCACTCACTCGAGTAGCACACGCCTAACCAAGGTACCATGTTACCAAGGAAGGAAAGGGAGAGGGATCACACCTAGCCACGATATCATATCATCGAGGTAGGACAAGGGAGAAGGGTCACCTAACCATTATATCAGGTAATTAAGGTAGGATATATGGAAGCTTAACTAAGATATTGAATCATCGAGGCAATCAAGAATGGGGGAATAAGTAGTTCTTAACCATGATAGCATGTCATCGGGGCAAGAATAATAATGGGAGTTGACTCTTAACTAAGATATCACGTTATCTATGAAAGAGAAGAACGATAGTGAGTCATTACAGGAAACTAAAACACCTAACCATGATAGCATGTTATCGAGGTAGGAGATAGAAGACAATAATGAGATCACAACGCAACATCAACATGGACGACACACGAGCTAATGACAAATTGTGGGGATTGATTATGAACCCTTCCCCACTTGACCAACTGGATATAAGAGCAGCACAATTCATAGCATTGATGTACAAGGCGAACTACGAATGGCGTGAGAACAAGAAATCATGGGGGTCGATTGTGAACCATTTTCCATTTGCCTTCTTTGAGGACTTATCAATGGGGAATGGCAATTGGACACCTTCATCGAGGTCTTTGGCACAAATGTATTCATACAAAATGGTAAGTAAACAAACAAAGTAGGAATTTACTTCTAAAGGTCTTTTAAAACAACATTTCCCATCTAAAGTAGGGACTCCCAGTCATGCATCTCTAGTCCTACTTCTCATGGAAAATTCAAGCGTAGACTCTTTCCGGTACATTTTCTAGTTGAAGTCGGGCGTAGACATCTTCTAGTTTGGATGAAATCGGGCGTAGATTTCCTTTTGATACCCTTTTTGGAAAATTCAAGCGTAGACTTTTTCCCGTACCTCTCCTAGTTGAAGTCATCATATACACCTTCTTGTTCGGATGAAATCGGACGTAGATTTATTTCTGATACTCTTTTTGGAAAAGTCAAGAAAAGACTCTTTCCGGTACCTCTCCTTGTTGAAGTAGGGTATAGACATCTTTTGGTTAAGATAAAATCGAGCGTAGATTTATTCTATTTCTTCTTTTGGACAAAGTCGAGCGTAGACTCATTCCAAATACATCTTCTAAGACAAAGTCGAGCGTAGACTTAGTCTGATTTTCCTATCAACAATTATCCCGGATGGCATCTATAAGCCCATCTCTGACGACTCTCCGTCACCTCTCGAAATGGCATCTTTAAGCCCATTCCCGGTATAATCAACTAACAATGTTACTTCGCGCACCGGCGAGTGCAAATTTCTGGGCGCTTAAGTGTTCAATCATCTTCCAACTTCAAGTGACGAATGACAGACATACCAATCTAACTCTTCATGTTTAAGAAGATTGAGCAGGGGCAGCTGTTGTACCCCAAAATTTTATCTCCCATTTTCTTCAAGATATTCTTCTAGGGTTCTCAAATGCTCAAGGATTCATGAGAGTTGACTAGTCAAACCTCCTCCTAAGCAATGAGTCCAAAAGTAGGGTTTTGTGTTTTTAAAGGAAGTTTCGGTTGCAAAGTTATCAAGTGGTTTCCATGGTTATCCATAGGTTTTCAATAGTTATCGTGTCAAGTTTCAATTCTTGCATCACAAGTTTTCTCAGTGAATGACTCAGATGATTGGAAATCAACTATATGGGGTAAAAAGCCAACTATGGTCAACATACAATCAAACTTCAAGATTTTTGGTCAACATTAACATTTTGAAATGATATTCATCATTTTATCAATGGTTGATCATGATTCCTCAAGGAAAGCCCTCAAATCATAAAAAGTCAAAAGTTGCCAAATTAGGGTTTCCTTAGGAGAAGTCAATTGAACTTTGACCAAGCATAACTTTCACAGGCTTCATCAACTTTTCTCCAAGAAAAAGCTATTTTGAAGGAAAATAAATTCTCTACAACTTTGTCTATGTAAGCTCAAGTCCAAAAAGTGCTTCATTGGAGAGATATGAGCCCATACATTATAGGTCATTTCAAAAGTCAACAAAAAGACACTTTTTGTCAAGGCAACTTACATCAAGATAAATTATCCAAATGCAAAAATTATAAAAATAGAAATTGTAGAGGACATATTGAGATTTAAAAAAAGTCATAGATCACCTTCAAAAGATGAAAACTGAGATAGTTATGACCAGTTCAAGTTGGGAAATTTTGAGAAAATGCATAAAGTGCAAAGTGAGCAAACTTGAAATTTTGAACTAGTGGGCCTAACTTTTGATGTTCAAACATGTTCATAAGGTGTTATAGGACCTCTATATCTATGCACATATTTTTAATAATTTTTATTTCCTTTATTTGAATTTTTATTCATTTAAATGAAAATAAAATAAATAAAATATGAGGCAATGCATGTGGGCTCACTTCTTGGATAAATTCAGGCCCAAGACAACTATTGGCAGCCTATTAATCTTTCCAAACCCGTGTAAGCATGAAAAGGGAAATATTATCTCAAGAAATAAAGCTTTTTAATATTTTGGATCCTTGTCTAGCATAACCATGATTTCTTGATTTTGTTCCATTTTAGTTGCTTCATTCTTTTCTCTATTTAAGCACAACGAAATCAGATACAAAGGACACACATGTTGCCTCTATAAAAAAATCCTAAAACTCTCAATAATTCTAAAAAATAGGGCACGAGTAAACTCTCTATCGAACAAGCATCAATCAACTTTAAGCATTCCATTAGCTTCCTGAAACTTCCAGATTCTTGTACCAGTCCTACTCAAGCCAGAACACATCCAGAATCCATCAACTCGACCACGCCGGTTTGGTAAATTCTTGGATCTCAATCTTTTTATTCATGGCATATCAATTTATTCCAAGCATATTAAAATGTTTATAATGATGTCTGGAATCATTTGGAACCATTGTTGTTAAGTTTTTATACAGGTACAACAATCCACCATTATTAGGGAATCCACTGAACTCGCGTTCGAATCCCTTGTTTCACAAACTTTTTTTCCCTTTATGAGTCTAGATTTGAGTTTAGGAGGAAATTTTAAACAAGATAGCATCTTTATCTTTTAAATTTGATGGATTTTTGTAGGGTGATCGTTAGAGAAGACGGTGGTTTCAACCACCTTCGGCCGGTCTGACTTTTATAGGGCGGCGCTGACCCTTCTGTGGATGGTCCTCTAAATGTGTTAGTCCATTCAAATAATCCATGGCCCACTAACGCGCGCATTTTTCACTTGTTTGATTTCTGAACCAATTTTATTATTATTTTATTGATAATGCACTACAAGAAAATTAGTGTTTAACGACACAAAAATTGCGACAGTTATGTGATAACTGTCGTAATTGACATATAGAGACAGTTTTTACGACGGTTGACACCAACCGTCCCTAATATTTATTTTGCGACGGTATATTTAACCATCATAATATTATTATTACGACGGTAAAACAACCGTCGGCCCCCATTTAACACTTTTAACATTGATTTTTCACCAACAACTAGTCACGACGGTAAAATTAACCGTCCTAAAAGGCATATCACGACGGTAAAGCACCCGTCGCACCCTTAAACCTTTCACGACGGTAAAATTATCCGTCCTAAAATTTATTTCACGACGGTAAAACAACCGTCGCACCCAAAACCTTTAAAAATTCTTTTTATGATTTTTTAGGTTTTCTAATTTGTTGTTTTAGGGTTTGATTTGATTATTAGATTAAATATGCAATAAAATGTGAAAGGCTAACCTCTTAGCATTACTTCCTCTCTCTATGATTCCTCTTTCTTTCTTCTACATTTCTCAAAACTGGAACTAAAAAACTCCAATTTCCTCTTCAGTTCATGACAATCCCGCAACAACAAAAAAAGACAGAACACATGAGGTTTACCAACACGATTCCAACTTGTGTCGATGGATAATTTGGCCGGCGGCTTTGGTGTGTGTGACGATCGGAGTTTATGGCCGAAGCAATAGCGGCGGCCGGTGGTAGTTGAGAGGATGATGGCGGATTGTTGAGCAGCAGAGGGACCTCACATCGGCTGTGTATGCTATGTGGAGAGAGACAGTGTGCATTGTGGTTGTGTGGGTCATACGGAGGTGGCTGATGCAGAGAGGGTCTCTATGTTTGCGGAGATGTGGCTATGACCCAACAAGGGCACCATTGTGGTTGGTGACAGTGACCAGTTATGCACGGTGGCTGGTCGGTGGTGACATTATGTATGGCGTGGATTCGAATCTGTATGTGTCGGTCTCGAGGTATCATTCTGGCGAACAAGCTTTTGGTTTCTACTTCAATATCCTTTCTTTTGCATATAGAAACTTGGATTATATTTATGTGTTATGATATTGTATTATGGTTTTTGACAGGTTGTATGAATTAATGGTGATTTGTTTTGACAAGTTTGGCTTATGGTGAAAATAGAGTTTATGTTTGGTTTTATGGGCTGTTATTGTTGTGATTTGTTATGATAAAAAATGGTGGATGATAGGTAGAATGATTTTATCAAATACCACTTGATTTATCAGAAATAAAGAATGACTTATTGTTGGATTTTTGTTAAATTGTATGTTGAATAAATTGTGTAATCGATAGATATTTGTAGTGATATAAATGTGAAAGGGATGTTAAGGTACTTTAGTTCCTACACCTGCGTTCCTACACCTGCGTTCAATGAGATGTATGAAGAGTACTTTAGTTCTGTCAAGAACACGGAAGTGCCAAGATCAGGGATTGGTATATCGGAGAATCACAATGAGATGTATCATGGAGTTGATTCTGGTTGGAAGCATGATGAACAGATATGGGAGGCGGCAGGTTCACTTCCTCCTGCTCATTGTTATTTTTTCCACCAGGATTCAAGAATTCAAAATTTGGTACGAAGTCGCCTGTGTAATTTTTCTCCATTAGGTGTTAATGGAGCGAATCAGCAACAAAATGTCTCTCACATTGATTACATGTAAGATGTAATCTAGTAATATATTCTTTCCTTGACCAGTTTTATCTTTTGATAACAGGTAGGATCTCTAATCAACTTATATTTTTCTGTTTTGATTTTAGGGGACAATTTGATAATGGAGGAGCTTCTAAAACGCCAGGAGTTCCTAGAGGACGTGTTAATGGCTCAACAAGCAGAAGAAGCAAATCAGTTGATTTGAATGTTCAAGAAACCTTTAATGCTTCTGAAGGTTGGGTGGATCCCAAAATCGTTTCTCCTCTCGGCTGTGGAACATCTAGTAGAAAGAAAGCAACGAAGAGAAGCAGCACTAAGAGCAGTGTGTCAAAAAGAAAAAGTGAACAATCCATATTAAACTCTTCAAATGTTTTTGGAAATTGGGTGGAACCCAAGAGCGGCACTATGCCGAAAGATGCAGGTAGAAGACGCGTCCAAGCAAGTGGTCAATCTGCTGGTCAATCTACTGGTCATTGGTTTACAGGATCCGATGGAAGAAAGGTATGTGAAATTTTTTGAAGAATGTTAAATTTTATTAGTTGGTTGGATTTATTTGCTCTCATAGCTAGATGCTGATCATAAAAAGTTGAAAACATGTGTTATATTGTTGACAAATTTCTGAAACCACTCAGGTAGTATATAACCCAAGTATTTTACAGATACGGATGAAATTTAAATTATAGCACCTTTTTGTATTGCCAATTCCTCTGAGGAATTATTGTTGTATAATTTGATCCCCAAGTTTGCATCTTTCTAATGTGGTTCTTAATACTTAGTTTTGTCAAAATGAAAATCACTTGCCTTCAAGATGAATACTTAAGGTACTATATCTGTTGTTAGTCATAATACAGACACCTGTCATATACTCAAATTATTATTCATTATACGATGTCATTATATTCCATATTGTTCTAGACATTGCAACAACTTAAACAAAGAAAATGTCAGTGTTATACATCTCATGGTAGAAATCAAGGATTTAAAGCTGTTTTTGGTATGCCTGGATCATAGTAAATCTCACTGCTCCTGCAAGCCCCGGTGCATTTGGCCGGATTGCAAAACTGCGCAATTTTGGCCTTGTTGCTCAAATCAAGAGGATGGCCAGTGACCCTTGCATGGATGTTAAGGTCCTTTAATCTTTATATCAAGTTGTTGTCTTTTTAATACTTTCTCTTGGTCAATTTGTAAATTTTCTTTTGTTGATGCAGCTTCGAGCACGAGTTGCACTTGGGCAGATTATTTCTTTTGGTGATAGTTAAATCAATCAGTTCCTCCTTTTAGAGCACCTTATAAGTTGCTCCTTCTGCTTCCAGCTTCCAAAACGGTATGCTTCAGTGGTTTACTTCAACAACTTTGTCTCTCCTAGAAGTTCCTTTCTAGATATTATTTTAATAGGTTATGTTTATAAGTGGGGTAATTTTCATCTTAAGCTGGTTTTGTAAGATTGAGTTACACCAAACCTAAATTCTAAGATATGCAATTGAGAAATGGAATTAAATCTGATAAAGCTGGTTGTCGTTCTCTATGAAGCACAAATACGGATACCTGACATGATATCGATACTGACATGTTGACACTAGTGATAATTAAAAAACATAAATAAATTGAACGTAATCACATGCGTGAGTGTCGGACCCAGACACACATTTGCTCACAAGTGTCGGTGCTACAATGATCGTTCTATGTATGGGATAAATATTGATTTTTCTTTCTCTTGCTCTGCTTTGTTCTAGTGTGTTGTTTCACTTGAAGGTTTTGTAACATGTTCTATTCTATTCTAATGTGTCCAATTCGTTAATGCTTTTTAAATGCTTCCATTTGCAGGTGCATCAATTTGCTTTTATTTTTTTCAACCAGTCAGAGCAGTGTAAATCTTTTCAATTTTGTAAGCACTCCTGACCCGGTTACCATTCCCTCCCCCAAAGTCTATTATTTCTTGTGAGTTGGAAGCTCAAAGTAGATTTACAGGCTATACAGTATTTGTACCATGTGAGTAGTCAGTGTCGATTTTAGAACTTAGTTTCAACTTCATTGCGGTTCTGATGCAGTGACAAATAGTGGAGTTTTATGGGTAAGCAAAGTGCTGAGGGGTAGTGTTTGAAGGTGTTTCTAGTATTCGTGCATACCTTGTAACTTGTAAACTAGTTTTGTGGTTCATAAATTGCTTGTTCTCTTTTCGGAGAAAACAGATGACTCAATTTTGTTTGAACCTAAATAATGCTTTGTTATTTACAGCTAAATGATGCCTTCTAAATGGGTCCCGGTGCATTTTCTGGTCATGAATATATATGACTGACATGACATGAGGCTCTAAACTATTTAAGCTATTCTTTGTGCTGAGCTTCTAATTCATCACAAAAAGTTAGGGGCAATTCACGCAGTTGAAGGCTATTGGGAAGAGCAAGCGCTAAACCTAGAATAGAAAAACAAAGTTAGAAGTACAAAATTACAAAATCTGTCAAATAAGCTGGAATCTACTGTTGAATGCTTCCAACTTTGAGATTATTGCTGAAATTATTGTGGTTTGTGGGGTTGGAAAGCATAGAAGTGAAAAAGGGGAATCATCAATTAAAGCATTGGGTCAGAAGATGTTGATGGAGATGAAAAGTCCACTCAGGATTGATAAAAGGAAGATGGATGCTTTGTTGGTAAAGGTAAAGCTGTTAAAATCTGGTTATGTGAATTGAGGAAGCCATGATTTTGCTTCTATATATGATGTTATGTGCTTTCGCAGACAACAGGAAGCCGAGGAAATTCAGGGCCTGTTTGTGGTTCTAAAATAAATGAGTTACCTAACAACCATTCATCAAACACACTGTCTAGGAGTGAAGTTATTGCTTCCAAATGGTAGTCAAGGAAGGATCATGGTCCTAGCATGGAAGTTTAACACAAAATCACTTAACACTAAGGACTTTCATGAATTTTGTAGAATATTGTAACATTTTTTGTAATTCTCTCAAGTTGTAGCAAACCAATGTAAATATTAAAATGAAATTTGGCCTTTGATGATATTTGAATTTTTCTTGTTTATTGGTAAAATTTGCACTTCTTTTTACCTTTGATCACATTTTTTTTGATATTATTGATGATTATTTGATATTAAATGTTTTTATTGTAATTAACTTTATTATGTTGAAAAGTGATAGAAAATAAAATAAAAATACTATAAATAAAAAAATATTAAAGTAAATAATAATTTAAATATAATAATAAAATAATATTATATTTAAAATTATTTTACTAAATAATAATTTAAATAAAAATATTATTTGAAATTTATAAATCAGATTACGACGGTTAAAACCGCCGCAATTTCTAACCTACGGCGGTAGAATAACCGTCGCAAACAACAACAAAAACAAAAAATAAAGTCAAATTCACGACGGTATATAACCGTCGCTATCTGTTGTGCGTGACAGTTTTTGCAACCGTCGCGAAATAGGCTGGGGACGCACGATTCTGCGACGGTACTTCTACCGTCGTAGATTGTAAATTGCGACGGTTTTAACCGTCGTAATCAGCCAAAATAACCGTCCCAATCTATCATTTTTCTTGTAGTGATGGTGATACTAATGCGTAACAACAATGGCACAATTGGTAAAGGAGTTGTCTGGTATTGGAAAGGGCGTGGGTTCGATCTAGCCTTTCGCATTCTCTTTTTCTTTGTTTTCCTGGATCAACACAGGTTCATCATACATTGATTTATTTTATTCCATAGCACAAACCAATGTCTGGCTTGGTGGATGGAGCGTGCACCTGTGATCTCAAGGGGACTGATTCAAGTCCCACCCCATGTATTTTCCTTTATTTTTCTTTTTCTAACCTTTTCCTACCTTTTTCTTATTTCATCTAAGTTATTTAATTAATTTCTTTTAATCAATTTAATCCAGAAAAAATCATAAAAAATATAAAAAAATCAGATCTAGGTTTTTAATAGATTATTTAATTTTAGAAAAACTTTTTTATTTTAATTAATTAGATCTAGGGTTTTCACATAAATAATTAAGTATTTTAACTTAGGTTTTAAAATATATTTAGTTTATCATTCAAAATCATTTTCAAAAATACCAAAAATATTAAATTAGATTTGTTAGGTTTTCTAAAAACTTTTTCAAACATTTTCTTAGTTATTTTCCCATTTATTTTCTTAGACAAATGTATAGGTTGTACAAATGTTTTAATAGCCGTAGATTTGATTTTGTGCAAGTTTTACTAAATATTGTAACTTCCTCAAGGCCATGTAATAGTTTAGGGCTTTACCTTTTCTGCATCTTTACTTTCTGCACTTACAATTATATGCTTGTATATATCTAACTGTATAGTAACTAGGCTTGTATGACAAGACTAAAATCAATCTGTAGAAAATCATAATAAAGATAAATTAAGTGAAAATAAATCACTTTTCACACATGTATCTCTAGGGTGACTCCACTGGTTGCCTTTGGATAAAACAGTCATGTCCCTCGAACGTGGGACACTTTAGTAAAGACCCTCTATTAAAAGATTATAGTCCCTTAATGACCCTTCGATGCTACCTCAGTAATCGATCTTAGTCCCTTACGACAAATTTCTAAAGCCCCCTACGAGTTGTGTTTATGACTGTATGATGACCTGTGCCTATCCCTCAAACATCCAATAATAGGGCTTCCTACTTACTAATGGTAGGATAATACTATCTAAAGGAGGAGGAAAAGAACAAAGACTTTTGAGTAGGTAGATAGCTTTTAATTGCTTGCTCACAAAAACATCTTTTTTTTCACACAAACACTTTTCTAAAATATTTTCAAAATAAACACTTTGTATGCGTTCTCAACTGATACGAGAATCATTACAAAGTTTATGATTTTAGGCATTTTTTAAAATATTTTCAAAACTCACAAACATAGGATTTTCAATAGTGAGCTAACGATTAATAGCCCGTAGATAACTATGGAAGAAAAGGGTGCTCATACCATCCCTTTTTATAACCTACCCCCTTACTCAAAAAATTCTCAAAGGTCTTTCCTGTTATTTTCACCCTTTCCTTATTGGATAAATGAAAAGTCGGTGGCGACTCTTGCTATCTGCAACATTTGCGTTAAATCGCAAAACCAAAAGTCAGTTCTCCCACCGTATTACACATACAATATAGCAAACAATTATTTTTCAGTAGTTGCATAGTTAATTTGTGCTTCATTAAGAACTTTGCTAGCATAATGTGTAGCATGAATTTTTTTTCATTTTCTTTGCCCAAGAACCTCACCCATGGTATAATCACTTTCATCATACATTAGTTCAGAATCCATTTTCCAATTTTGTGCTACAATTATAGGTGCGAGTGTTAAATTTTGTTTCAAATTATTAAAAGCTATCAAACAAGCATCATCGAAAATAAAAGACTTATCTTTGTTGAGAAAGTTTCTCAATGGCCTTGCAATAATGGAAAATTCTTTGAGAAATCTTTGGCAGAAGCCCGCATGACCTAAAAAACATCGGATTCCTTTCACGTTCAATGGTGGTTGCAATTTCTCAATAACTTTTACTTTGGCCTTGTCAACTTCAAGCCCCTTGGATGAAACTTTGTTACCAAGAACAATGCCCTTGGTAACCACGAAGTTACATTTCTCCCAATTAAGCACTAAGTTGGAGTCCACACACCTCTTCAAAACAATATCCAAAATTTTCAAACAAAGATCAAAAGACGCCCTGAAAATGGATAAGTCATCCATGAAAACTTCCATTGTCTTCTCAATAAGATCGGAAAATATGGCATGCATACACCTTTGATAAGTTGTTGGTGCATTGTGAAGTTACCGGCAAAAAACATAGAGTCGTCACCGAACTTTATTTATCCCGAAGGAAGGGGAAATATCGATAAAATCACAAGAGGATGGATATGATGGTCTTGCGACCAAGAGAAAGGGTAAGGGAATCAGTTATGCAAGGGGAAGGTATTAGCACCCCTCACATTTTTTGTACTCAACGGGATCCATTTTGTTTGTTTTCTTCTAAGGGTGTGTTTATCTGTAACTATATTTTCTAAGGGGGAAGGAAATCGTTTTATACTAGTGCGTTCGTGAGGGTCTCGCAACCCTTTGCCTACGTATCTAGTGAAGGAATCAAAACATTGTAGTTCCTTTAGAAAATGTTGGTTTGTTGGTGATTTTTAGTGGGCGACGTTAATGCACACATTCTAGCATAGGCGCGACCGATATCATGGTAGAACGGAGATAACATGCTCTTTTGGGATTTTAATTGGTTGAGTGTTTTGTGAGTTTTAGAATGAATTCGAGTAATGATTAAATGTTTTTGGATTTTTGATTTTTGAATGATAAGTTTTAATCTTAATTACGAAAGAAAAGTAAAAGGGTAAGTGTACCCTAAGGTTGGCATGCATGGGGTCCAACCTAATGTCTAATTAGTTTGCATCTTAAAGAAGAGGAAACTATCCTCCTAAGGGAGTATGTTATAAAAGGAATCGATGTTTCTGAAAAAGTGATGACAAAATAAGTAGTATTATGAAAGAAATAAATGGGATGCTTGGTTATGGGAATTGAATCGGGTTATGATTAATCAAGGGGTGTACTTGATTAATCTCATGAGAGTAGGTGCTCCTACCCTCAACCATGAAACCCTTTGTGCATGGAAACACTTGGTATATGGACCAAAGTGGTTGATTCCGGTTATTGTTAACCAAGGGAAAAACTTGATTAACCTCGTGAGAATGGCCATAACCAAACTCAACTATGAGACCCTTTAAGAAGATTCTTGGTATGTAAACCAAGGGGAAAGGAGTTGCTTCAATGGATCTGATAAAAATAAAAAGCCCATACAATGTGGCTATATGCATGCTCCTAGAAAGTGGGAATAGCGTGGCGCTAGTATTCTAAACTACCAATTGGAACAATCGGTCGAATAGTTGTCACTGTAAGAAAGCTCGGGACCAAGATATGAAATGTGTGCAAGTGTGCATTTGTAGTTGGATACCTTTTCATTGATGGTGAGCCCAATATGAGGCCATGTGTTCTAATTGAATGACATATGCATAATTAAGCAACAACTAAAACATACAAAAAAGTAAACCCTAAGCTATTACAATCATATTGGATGTGTGTACAAATTTACAAATGGTGATAAAGTAAAAATATAATTAAATTATTACAACCATATTGAATAAATGAACAAAAATGAAAAAATATTTTAAAAAATAAAAATATAGTATAAAAAGAAAGGAAAATTGTTTTTTTATAACTTTTATGTATCG